GTCCGTATCAGCTGTGTGTAGCGGATATACCTACTTCTTTTTAAAACCAACCTAATAAATTTTATTCATGAACAGTTAACGTGAAGACATGTACAAATTTCATATTCATTCTCCCAAAAAATATTGTGACATAACAATTTTTAAATGTGACATGGCAAATTTTTTTCAAACATTTAGCCCACTAATAGTTTTTAAATTATGATCATTTTTAACCTACTAATTATAAACACGAAAATTATAAAGAGCCCACTAATGGTGTTCATACTTTTATTCTATTTAGCCTACTAATTATCTTACTAATCAAGCTAAACAATACCCACGAAAATACCTAGCCTCCATTATATATATATAGTAGATGATGTTAACAACCAATTTACTGTCTTCACATCTCATTTTTGAAGAATGGTTTACCTCTATGATTATGATGATATTGTAGAGGAAAATAATTCTGAATATACATGGGGATTTCCGTGAAGGTAGAAAGCTGTTTTTTTAATTTGATGTAATTTCCATTTTGTGTATACATTATCTAACGAATTTTGTTTATAAAGTTCTACGCACATCGTATCATGATTCAGTTACAAGATCACACGACAAAATTCAAGTGTTTGATATGAAACTATAGTAACATCAATTCCAATCTTGTTAGAAATGAAAATCTTACAAAAAAATTTAGACAAAACCGAGATTGGCAAATTATTACTCGACATTTCCATTTAAAATGTGGAGAGGATACGAAATTGGAGTAACATCAATTCTAATTTTAAAACTATGGAAATCTTTAACAATATCTCCACAAAACCGATCTTTGGAAATATTCGTGGTATATAAGAAAATATATATCTCGACTCTTTATAATAGATTTTTTTTTTCAACAACTTATAATACAGCTCTTTATAATAGATTTTGCACTCCAATGCATTAAATTATTATACATTTGATTTGATATGGTTATGTATATAAATAATAAAATTATGAAATAAATAATTGGTAAAACTAAACTTTCAAAAATTCATATTATTAACAAAAAAAAATATTGTTGACAAAAAAGTGAACAAAAAAAATATCAACAACAATGTCTATCATAAATATAAAAACAAATACAATTTTCACATTTTCAAAATGTAAAACTAAAAACAAAATTATAAATAAGTTACTCGTTTGTACGCGTCGAATCAGCTAGTATACCTTAAAATATCAAATAATGTGTGCATACATTTCTGGATTTGTATTTGATTAGAAAATTGGTTTGCGCTATCCTGCCACTAATTAAAACGAAAAGGGGTTGCAAATTAATTAGTTGCTAAATTTGTGACTGCCAAATATTTCGGTTAGTAACATAATATTGTTGTTATTATTATATGCAACCAATCAACATCGTCATTTATCATCACTCTAGCATTTCAATTTTAGGACTATGTTGGGGGTGGCAAAAGCCCTCATGTCTTCTTTTCTTTTGTAGTAAATGCTTTATTGGAAATTGCATTTAATGACCATATAAAAAATCATAATAAAATTCCTAACCATTTAACTTAAATCTAATGGTTAAA